AGCATTTACTAGATATAGGGTAGCCTGGTATATAAAAGAGGGTGACAACGTGACGGAAGGAAAAATGTGTGTGTAGACAGTGAGTAATTGATCTGCAGTCAGAAAGTATTATTGAGCACGTTCGTTGTTATAGCGTTTGTTTTAGTGTTATTGTTGAAATTAAGTGTATCGTAAAGTTATATTCGGAAAGAATAAACCAGTTTTATTAAGTAAGGACTTGTGTCACTAAAGTTTCGTCGGAACGAAGTTACGGAAAGTTAATTAACAAACGGAGACGTAACAATATGTAAAATAAGAGAGAGAATAATTTGCACTATACAAACTCGGGTGTGGGAATGAACTAATAAATGAAGAAAGAATGAAATAATAGGAGGAAAGAAGATATATACTACCTGTATAACAGATATAAATTACAGCCCACATTCGTATAAGTATTCCTTTCAAGCCTGGTAGTCTTTCCTTCATTTTCATAAAATAGTCTGGGATTTTTCCCAGGTATACCCGCCCTCTCGGTGGGCCTGGGCAAGGACTATTTGTGCTAACCATCTCTAATGTAGAAATTATAGACTAGAAGAAAGACAGCAAGTTAACGCCATTTCATGGACTAATCTTTATCAACAAATAGTGGGACTAACAATCACATTATAAGGTCTCTGGTTGTTTTTTAATTTCCCGTATAATTTCTTCGGGATGAAACTTTAGCGATACAAGTCCTTTCTTAAATAAAACTAGTTTATTCTTTCTCAATTCAACTTTGTAATACATTTAATTTCCAAAGTCACTTTAAACACACGTTATAATTCATGCACTTACTTACGGTCACTACCGCGCTTGACTCAATTGTCCGTCTTTATCTCTGCCTGTCTGCAATTCAATTCCGATTAATTCGTCTCACGTTATCTGGCGCACTTATATACAGGAATAGAGGGCGCCTAGCACATACTGGATTATTCGTGATGTTCCCCGATCCTTCTAGAATATCATGACGTGTTACCAGCGTCACGTGACTACCGCTGTCGTAACAATGCACCTTCCTTAGTATTGTTTGTTCCGAACAACAACCACTTGCATTAAACCAATAAACAATTAACAATAACTTAATTAAATATACAGAATTTACAAACACAAAATTAAAATTCAAGCAAGTAATTTTACGGGACGTATCTTCTTCCGTACTGGTCTCCATCTCGTTGGCTTTTGCTTCATGTGGGGTTCATCTGCTCCATCAGGAAATGCTCTATTATCGGTAATAATCACATCAGTGGTAGTAACTTTATTAAGGGCTTCACTGTTTCCCTTCTCAAAACCAAGTAGAGTTTCTTCTTCGACAGTGGATTTTTCAGGTGACACGTCTTCAGTAGCATATTTGTTCCGTTGTTCACTTTGTCCCAACTGAAATCTCCTGGACCATGTTAATGCCAAAGCCTGTTGGCATGCACCACCTTTGGCTTACTTCGCCAACCACATTTTATTCGGAAAGTCACGTTTGAGAGACGATCCATAATGTCATATAGGCCTTCACATGGAGAAGACAACTTAGAAGATTTCCCTTTGGTCTTCTTAGGATTATACAACCACACCTTGTCTCCTGGCACAAAGCTGACTTCAGTAGATCTCTTATCATAACACAGCTTCATGGAATCAGCAAACGTTTTCAAGTTTGAACGCACTTGATGGTGAATATCATCCATCCTTTCCGATAACACTTTCACAAACTCTGACACACTTTCAGGCAACTCTTCATAAGGTGGGTGTCCTGTTAACAGTTCCACTGGCAACCGAAGTTCCCGACCAAACACCAACTTCGCTGGAGTGTATCCAGTGGTTTCACGCTTTGCTGTCCTATAGGCCATCAACAGTGGAAGGAGTAAGACATCCCAGTCATCTTGGCGGCTATTACAAAACTTTGCTCCCTATCCAAGTGTCCAATTGTACTTTTCTACCATCCCATCAGACTGTGGGTGAAGTGGCGTTGTCCTGGTTTTTCGATGCCAAACAACTTGCAGCATTCATGAAAC